TCTTCGAAGTAAATAGTGTATGTTAGCCATTTGGTGGTTAAGTTCCCATTTTAGGTGTATCAATGAAATAAAACAATAAATGGATTATTTGATATATTCATTACATATTTATTGATAGGGTAGCCCATTCAACACATGTTGGTCTTCCATTGGGCCCTGCACGTACAATCACGAGTGAAACCAAACAATACAAATAAACAAAACAAATACATTTGAAAGTAACATAATACTCCAGACAGCTATGTGGAAATTGTCTTTAAAATACGAATATATTTTATGAATACTGCCAGTGCCAATTGGATGAACAAGAGAATGAAGAACACGGAATGATTATCACTACATTTGCTATGCTTTGTGTGATAAAAGTTTAAGCTATTTGTTAACAGCTAGTCCCTGCCTGATGTCGTTACATTATCAGTCTAATTGAAAGTGTATTAATTCTGGATTGGTCACAAGTACAATTACATCTCCATTAATAAACAGTGCACCTGATAACATTTGTCAGAACTACTGTTAAATGAAGTAAGGTAAAGGAATGAATCGAATGATTGGACAAACACAGCTCCAAGGTGACGACTACTGACGGGAAGATGGGGGTAAGAACACACTAACAGACCATTGGCAGTGTAAGATGAATGTAATATTCATTAACGCTCGTTCATTTCACAAATCTGATTTACACACCTGAGAGGTTTGACGTAAATCATATTAAGGTATTAGGGTTTGTCAGACGTCTGGATCATTTAATTTTGAACGTTGTGTCCTGTAAGAACATGAGCTCAGCAGCCGTTGTAATTGTTCCATGTTTTTGTCTCCTTTCATCAAAACAAATTTATTCTCTGTAGGCCTACGTTAGCTTCAATCAATTGGCGACTTGACTCTTGGTGCATCGGTTGATTGCGATGTTCTAAGATGCTATGTGAGTATGCTTGCATGGACAAGCACTATCCGTCTAAATTTATTTCAGTTTAATAATTCATGTCATCTTTTGTTAGCTCACTCTGTCTACCTCTCGATCTGTTGTTGTTGTTGTTGTGTTTAGTGTAATTATTGCTGCTGTTCTTTTTTCATTTTCATTTTTTGTTTTAGAATAGAAAAGATCGACTTACAGAGGAAGGAATCCATCATAGATAAAGACAATAGAACGCATATTTTTTTTTTTTTATGTCGTTGCATAATTATCACTCTACAGCTCGGCTGAAACCATTTTCGTTGATGGTTTTACAGAGATAAGCAGCTTTTACCTTGTTCGTCAAATTAAGATCAATTATGATATTGCCTCATTCATTTGAAATAAAGAAAGAACGAGAGGGAATTTACAATAGAAGAATGTGAGTGAGCAGACTATTGAAAGGTAATACGATGACAAAGTAAGTACGGTACTAGGTAATAACGAGGACACGGATAATGGACCAACATTCAATGGGAGTGGTTATGACAGAGGCATAAAGAAAGTGACAGACTGAGAAGAAGAAAAAATATGAGAAATAAAGCTGTACAAAGTATAGTGAGACGGTCGGCCTATTTCAAAATAAATGAGAGACATATTTATAAAGAAAATCAGAGACAGAGTGTAATAAAAGCAGAAACCCAAGGATAAAAATAAAATGTTTGGAAAAGAGAGAGAGAGAGAGAGCGAGAAGGGGTGACGTAAAAAGAATGAAAGGTAGAAATAAAGGGTGAAAGTACAATAGAGGGAATTGGAATATGTATAGACTGCACATAGAGAGAAAGAGAAACAGGATAGAAAGAGAGATTTGAAAAGCATATAGTGGAGATCCGTAAACTGATAAAAAAATGGAGGGTAAGAGATGAGAGGGTGAGAAGAAGAGGGGATGGATGAGAAGGTGAGAAGGTGTGAAGATAAAACCTTGCCCAAGCGATGAACTAGTCAAGATAGTAGTCAATAATTCAAAGTAAGTGAAGATAGAAGAAGGGGAATTGAGATTGGGAAGGAATTGCAACATTGAGCGAGGCCATCTGAAATGTGTCATCATCGATAAGGTGGCAACTGTGTTATTTCAGTTTTAATATGTTTTAGAAAGGTTTTTTCAAAGGTGATCTGGGTCTAGGTCCACGTTTAATCTGACGGTCCTAACAGGTTAAAGGTCATGGTGATATAGTAGTTCTGGAGGAGCCAAACGTCAAAATGGAGACTGGTTGTTTGCTTACAGTGGTCAACACCAAGTATAGAATTAAAGGAACGAAAGAGATAAAGAAAGTGACCGTTAATGAAATAGTTTTTTGCCATTCCAATTTTGTCTTTATCTCATGAATACTTAAACAAAGAGATGCTTTAAGCCTATAGTGTACACAAGATATTTCAAAGTATTGGTTTGTAGATTGCATGGGGTGTCTCAGTCTTTTTTTTTTACATAAGCATATACTCAATTAGATGTGTCGTAAAACCAATAGATACGATCAAGTGTTATAGCATATTATGCAAGTTTATATGACATCATATTGTCGTTGTTCATTTTTGTGTGTATTTTCTTGTGTACTTATATCTTTTCTTCTCCATGCGCCTCGAACACATTATTCATGTGGAGTTGGCGCAGTACAAATACTCTGTATTATTATTATTATTATTATAAGCAATTACATTAAATAAACGGTGATCAATATTGCGACTTGAATGCCTGCAAAAAAATATCATGTAAGTGGAGGCAATATCAGTTACGTTTTCGTACATGAAAAATCACTGAAACAATATGGCCCTAATTCACAAAGGAGGTTTGTCGACAAACCTTGGTTTTCGTACGTCATATGACGCGTTTTACGCGTTTTTTACAAACCTGGTTTGTAAAGAACAAAAGGAGGTTTGGCGAAACAAAAGGAGGTTTGAGCTCAAACCTTGGTCTGAGCTCAAACCTTGCTTTGTGAATTCGGGCCTATATCTGTCTTTGTTTGTAGAATGTTCTGGCCTAAGTTGACCTCTGAAGTAGTTTGACTACAGCTTTATGCTGGTGTATTTGGCGCCGAATAGTACAGCATTTGGCAAACTGGAACGTTAACGATTTCATGTGATACAACATTTAAACGTAGGACATTTTGAGTATGAGATACACATTGTAGGGGTTGTATGCCTTGTTTAATATTTGGAAACCAATATCAATACTCTAAAGAAAATCGAACTGTATTTTTGAAACATCACATCTATCCTAATTTTAGGAAATGTACCTGTTTCCCTCTTATCAGCTAGGTATGTTTCGTGTTTTAGTGGGCCATAAGTTTTTTTAATTTTCATTAATCCGTATTTTATCCTTGGATAATTATTTTCTCTCATTTAACTCTTTCTAACAGTTACGTTTTCCCATTTCTGATGTAGTTTCTTAATATACTCTTATAATAATAATAATAATAATAATAATAATAATAATAATAATAATAATAATAATAATAATAATAATAATAATAAAACGATGCTTATAAAAACGATTTCCATCGAAGTCTTTAAGCGCTATAACAAACAAAATACAATGACAAACAATTATATTAAACAAAAATAATTACTAACAAACCTACAAATTACAATTCATATGAAATATACATCAATGTGAACAGAGTAAGTTTATCATCATTAACATACATACCAGATCTACGTCCTAAAGTCATTTCGTCCATCTAAAGTGCACGTTCCATTTTCTTTTCTATATTAGTTTATACTGCTTTATATAAACAAAGATGCAATATCCTTCTTCATTCCAAATCTAGAATCTAGAATTCACGATGTAGAGTATTCAAATATTTTTTTGGGAAGTGAGCTATGCACTTATGCTTTAAACTGGTGGCACGATCTCACCAAAACAAAAATCAATATTGACAGAAGAATTTCCGTTCATAAAATACCCACACAAGCACTTTAAAATGTCCACAAATAATCTCAAACCCGACTGACAATGGTCTTTAAGTATAAGAATAAGAATACCAGTACAAAATGATTGGTAGAAGGGACGATCAGACCTCTTGAGAGGTAGATGGCGCTTGATAGGGCATCGTCCTAACTGATCCCAAACAATTCTTTTGTTAGTGTTGTAGTTCTGTTTTGTTTTGTTTTCTTGTTTATATTTTCCCCTCGCCAAAAATGTTTTGTTTTATACCGATTGTTGTGGTTGTTGTTTATTTCCTCCACAAAGCAATGCATATTTAACTGGGCTGACTGAGTATACAACATTTTAAATGAATGCAAATCAAATGCATACATATTAGTTTTTTATTTTTATTTATTTATTTATTTCTGATATTAAGACTGGGTGACTCATTATCACCAATAATGGTGGTCTTTCATAAACTTAATGAGGTACATTATAGTTTAACATAATATATATATATGATAATAATATTAATAACAAAATCTTGAACATAAATTCATAATAGCAATAACCAATAAGTAAGAAAATGTATAAAATTATATACAAAGTATGTATGTTTATTCATTTACAGACTCGCTAAAAAGCATTATATATTTTTGATAGCGCTTAAAGCGGTACATGTGAGGTTACTATAGACGAATAGGAAATTAATCCATTTACCAGGATCTTAAAAACGTCTATTCCGGAAAATTATCTGGGAAACGGATGCTTTCGCAGTATCATATTTATTCATATATCCTTCTATTTTGTTTCTTCAGCAATTAGTTACATTAGCTGAGTTAAAATAACTTTTCTTTCCACATGCAAAATAAAATTCAGAAGCTAACAAACTAATTTTTCTAATGAATACACATCCGTTATATCAGATTCTGCCCCCCTCTCTCTCTCTCTCTATCTATCTCTAAACTCTCTCTGTCTCTGTCTGTCTCTCTCTCTCTCTCTCTCTCTCTATATATATATATATATATATATATATATATATATACCCCCGTCTTCTTCGTTTTCTTAACTTGCAATTGCATTATCATGCGTGAATAACCTACAATAATGTATCAGCTACAATACCGTTTTAACTTCCCTCACCTATAATTTTCCTACCCAAAATCTTCTGCTGTTTACTGAGCTTACCTTTTTAGTTTTCGGTCTCCTCTACCGATGCTATACTGTTTCGAAAGTGTGTATTCCTTTACAAACCACGCATCCTACTGGTGACGTCCAACACATGTTTATCAGTGTATTGCCATCGAATCATCCAAACTGTTATTTCTTCGCTTTTCCTCCTATCTCGGCGGAAAGCTGTTATCGCAAAGGGATACGTCTTCAGAAGATAATGTCCATATGTTGAGTATCTAACCTTCTATCACCATCACCATATCACTCTCTTTCTCTGCCCATGCACTCTCGTTGATTTGTTTATGTGTCGCGTGTGCTTTAGATAGAGAGGGTGAAGCAAGAGAGAGATAAAGCGTATGGGTTCTGTAGCGGAGATACCCTGACCGAATGTGAAATACAACGAGCTAATGAGCATCCGCCAATGCAGTAATACACGAGCCCTAAACGCCATGGTATGGTGTAACCTATCTCTCTCTCTCTTTTCTCCGGCTCCCTTATCCCGATATCTCTCCAACCCCCAACCACTCTCTATCTCCACCTTAATTTCCCTCTCCCTTTCCAATTCGCCCGTTTCTCTCTCTGTAACTTATGCAAGTTTAGATTAAATCAAAAAGAAATAATGTCATTGAAAAAATATTGACATGCTTGAAAAATAACATGAATCTTTATATATAAAATCCCTTTATCTGACATTTCCAATATCGCTGTATACAATGACATATTTTGACATATGCACGTGCTTGTAAATATTATGGAAGAAGCAAATTATAGCTCAGAATTTGGCAGCTGACTGATTGTCGGCAGTAAGTGAATGAAGCGATACGACGTTCAAGATCCGAAAAAATCTCACCACAAAATGTGATGAGATTGGTATATGATTAATACTAATATGAATATTGCTATGCGACATTTCACAAACGTATGCTTTTTTAAAAACATCGATATCTTGCCCTATATACACGGTCCACATTCTGCTTTTAGACTTATTCTCGCCAAGTCACCATTTCAACGATAAATAGAAAATGTGACAAACGCGCAAAGACGTTCAAAACTAAAATCAAAAGACAGTAACCACTTTCGACGCCAGCATTTGAAAGTGTGACAATATTAGGCCAAGTTCAGATATAACGCGGCGAAACCGCGGCGTTTTTTTTTTTAATGATGACGTCAAGTGTAACACGCGTCGCATTTCTGGATCTTACAGCACAGACATTAGTCAATTCGCGCATGATTTTAGGTGCGCGCAGTTGCCATTCATGTACACGTTTAAAAAAAGACCGCGGCGGTTATCTTCTACCAACCTCCACGTCCCTCACACACCTGTTAATCTATTCCACTCAGTCTCTTCTCCTAGCTTCGTCCTGCTTCCTCTCACCTTGATCTTTTACCGGTCTCTTGGCCATTTCGCCATTTTTCCCCCTTTTCCTCCTTGCCCTACACCGATCGTTTATCGATCCACTTCGTTTGCCACGCAACTATTTTTAAACCCTTGGGCAACCTTGGGGCTTACAAGGCCAATTATAAATGAAATTTTCTTGTTCAATATAGACAGGACAGTGTAGAGCAAATGAAAGATCCGACTGTAGTGAAGGGGAATTATACCGCGGAGGGATATGTAATTTAACTATATATATATATATATATATATATATATATATATATATATATATATTTATTTATTATTCGTCTATTTCTTCATTTATTTATTCATTCGTTTATAGACATATTTCTTTGTTTATTTAATTTATTTATTTATCGAATTTCACTAATTTATTTAGGCATTGAGTGTCATTTCAACGGGTTAGCCCCTTCAGGAGCTGTTATACATGGGGCCCTCAATAAAGTTTTAAAAAATACAGAAGACATGTAAATATTTGTCACATGGTGAAATAGTCATCAAGATGACTCTTCCAGAAAATTCAACCAAACTAAAAAAGAATTGAAATCAACATAACCTACAGAGGAATTGAATTCTGGAAACTACTCAAATAATTCGAAAAAATGACTATATTCTATACAATCAAAATCGGACAATATGATTAAACTTTGTCTCCGAAAAGTATTTTAGCATTGATTTACCTCTGAATAATTAGTTACATATTTTTTCTCAAAACTAACCATGAAAAGAATAAGAGTGAGGTACATTGTCTGCGCTTTCTTGGAGTGTATTATTGGAACAGAATAAGATGTGTATACAGTAGTTGAAAAAACATTTGTAAAGTGAAAATGTATATCTTTAAAAAATAATCAATGTTAGCCTGTAAGGAACATGACAAAAAAATTCAAGAGACTTACGGTGATATTTTACAAAATGTTCCTGTTTTTAAACCCATCCCTCCAGCTTAGTACTGGGTCTAATTTACAAGGGTAGTCTCAACAGTATTAATATAGCTCTTCCTGCAGCCCTGCAATTATCATCACCCAAGCATTTGCCAGGTTTACATTTTCACCTGGACGGTGGAGAGTGACTTAAGTGGATTAATATCTTGCCAAAGGATATTAACGCCAGGTTTGGGATTCGAACCCTGACCCTTGGATCGAGAGTCAAGTGAATAAATCACTATAGCACATCACCTCCACATTGAGACCCATAGACAGAATGTGTATGGAAAAAAGTGTCCAGCTAGAGAGAAATGATACGGTTGTAAATTGAAGTACTGAAAGGTTAGGTGGAAGTTGTTAGGGTGAAGTAAAGGTCATGCTAAAGCTTTCCGTCGATTTAGAATCACCAGCTGATCATTTGACATCACAGATTTCTATGAGAAATCGGTGTAAAACGCAAACCGAAGTTTTTGTAAGGTTATCCGCATCATAAAGGGTCATCATGATTACTTATAGCCCATCGAATTGGGTTCACCTTATGAAATCCAATTGGTAAATAATGAGAAATAGTGAGGACACAGCCTATAAAGGGAATCTTGCTAGGGGCAAAAATCCATGATAAGGTCAAACGCATATCCGGCTTTTGACATCATGACAGCTTTGTTGCTGCTATAATTATAGCGAAGGTTAATTAAATACCCTTAGATTATTTCTATGGAAATGTCGTATCGTAATCTTGATATTAAAAAAATGTATCTAAATTCTATATTTCGCCATTCCGTTTGTAGTTTCTTTGCGGTTTATAGAATATTTAACTATTACATTAACTTCCAGTAGAGAAATGTAAAAATAAGATGATGCCCGAAGTAAAGATGAAAGAAAGTTACACCATTTTAAAATGAAATTTAAGCATGCAATAAATGTGTTGTAAGCTTGCAGGTTCTTTTTTAATGTATATGGTCCATACTAATTCACGATTCATAGTAATCACTTTAAGTTACTTTTGCGACAATTCAACAATAAATTCAACGAGCAGTCAAATTCGAGAATATCAGAAGCATATTCATTAGTCGAACTTGACATCGCTAAAAGATTATCAAAATATATTTCATTACACAGCGTCTGCATGCAACTTTTCAAAAGAGAAAGGAAGATTTCTCTTTCTTTTGTTTTTACTCTTCCTCCTTTTTACTCGCCTCCTTTAGTCGCTGTTCTCTTGATGTATTATTCCTTTTCCTTTTAATAAATCCATCGTTCGGAGCATATGTATGTAATTTCCCTCTCGATATGTAATATATATTTCTTTCCAACCGCAATGCTTAATATTTCACCGTGAGATGAATGAGAATACTACTTCTCCGGTGAATAGTCTATATATCTCATCGATTCGCTGCATCCATCTTCAATTTGCCTGTCTGTCTCTAGACTGTGACATGTCTACGTCTCGTTCAATTCTCTCACTTACTCTTAATTACCCGTTTTATTTTGATGCTGATAGGCAAAGCTTTACCTCTTTAAAAGACGAAGACCCGTGGCGTAGTTTATGAGACGCCGCTAGCAGCCAGCGGGGGAGCTCCCTGCTAAGACTCCAAAATGTCAAGATGAACATGGTTCATAATGAGATGCGCCGTGGATTCAGCAGGGGGAATACAGAGAGTGAATGGGAGAGACGGGCGCGGGTGGAAGCAGCGAAAAGAAGAAGATAAATAACGGGGGTCAGAAAAAAAGTAAGGTTCGTGCCAACGGACTTGTTGGAGCGGAACACTTATACCTATTTATTCGATTTTAGACTTCAAAAATAAGTTCGAATGACGATGGTTATGATTAAGCACGGGACACTCATCATCGAGAACATGAAAATCATTTTGGAAAAAATGTGTCTGTTTCATGATGTAACCATAGTAACTTGTACATATCACTACATGGTGTTGTTGTTGTAAGCTTCTACAATACCTAAGTAAAACACAAATTTCTCAATTTTTCCACAAAGATGAAATTTTCATATAATTGAATGCATTTTAGTGGAAGATATTTAACATTACCTACATTTGATCGCATGAGCATATATTTTTATAATGCCAAACATCCATTAACGTTTAATCAAAACCACGCCTACATTGAAGTCAGTTTTTAATTTTGACAGGCTCCCAAACTAAATATAAAATATTACCTATCACAAATTATTCGCCATGATATCAACGCATGCGATGTGGAATTAGCGATACAGCATTCATGTGTATGCTCATCAGCACTGGCCTTGGGGAAACGCAATTGGTATTAACTCACAGGCAAAGCTTAGCCAATCCAACGCTCGATATACTACATTATTAAAATGTGTATTTTAATCATATTACAGCATTATGGAAATATAAATGCATGTAATCTATTCCATTTCTAAATAGAGAAATTGGTCCTGAGATGAAGCCGCATCTTCATGAGACATGGTGCCTGATCCGTCACCAATTCTATTATCGATTTGAATAGTTTAACATTCTACAAACACTTCCTCTCATTCTTATTCTGTATATGTGCAATTCTCAACTGTTTCACATATCCATAGTGGCCTCACTTTCATGACAAACGCCCCCTCCCCTATTTGAAAAAAAAATCTCCCCTATCCGGGCCCCCCTCAATGCAACCGTGGATAGCCAGCTCGAGCTAGCCGCCCGCCCTCCAACCCGCCGGAGCTGAGCTACTTCATGCAAATGAGGTCTGTAGCTAGAATGAGAAGGCGTTTTGTCTCTATTGGATGGAGACTGAGGGGTGGGCGTCTAGATGGAGGTTGGCACGTCATTGGGGCCTAGGGTTGACTGGAAAATGTTCAAACCTTTTAGAGAGTATTATCCTTTATCTCACGTTGAACGAATGAGTGTCGTTATCAAGGGCTGGCACCAAATTCAAAATGGTGTTTTATTTTTTACTGAGAGCCTTTCAATTCTGACAAAAGGGTATTGTTTGGGGATTATCTACATTTCACGAAACCGGATATGTTTCCAGAACGAATCCTAAGATGTTTCAGAACATTCACGCGTGAATAAAATATTCATTTAGGCACATCCGATGCCATGGGGTACTCCACATATAAAACATGAAAGTCCTTTGGTATGATATTATGCATGAGTCAAGTACACATTACACTCGTGGTTTGTCGCACCATGTACAAACCAGGCGGGGCCCCCTCTTCTCACCAATATACCGTCACCGCCATAAAATACTTTCTCTTTATATTCTGACTGTAAACACTTATGTCTGTTCTCAACATATTCGTTCGTTTAAGTATGTCTTACATTGTACTACCCTTACATAACTTTTATTATTGTAATATGCTTTGTAATGTATTATTGTATTATTGCAAATTATGTCCTGAAGTATGTTACACTTTAACTTATGTGTATTTTACATTCTTTCTTGAATTACTTGATGGTCGTATGCCCACAATTATACAATTTCCACACAACTGCGCCAGGAGTGTCATTTTTGACAGACATGACGCATTATAAATGTTCACTATTATTATTATTATTATTATTTCCTTATATGGCGCTTTTGTTTCTGACCGAGTCAATTTGAAAATGTCACATTAGAACAGAACTACTGGGATTGTTGAAAATAAAATATT